CGGACGCAACAACAAAACTTTTAAATTAAAGGACTTACAACATTTATTAGAACATTCCTTATCAAAAGTAACTCCAGAAAATTGGAAAAATGCTGTTAGTCATGCTCACAAAAAAGAAAATAAAATGTGGAATTTGGATAATATGACTGATGCAATGCTGGAACTGGTAATAATTAACATTGGAGTTGAAGATTCCTTAGATTCTAAAGAAAGCAGTGAATCTGAAATGGAATTTGATTAAAATAATATTTATTTTTTTACAAATCGGCCCCTGTTACTGCCACAAATTATTTTATATATAACTAATAAAATAAACATCTTACATTTATTGCAAATTTATTAGTACCTGTTAATCTCCATCACTCCGACACTGGCAACTTTATTTAGGGATTAGTAACCCTCAAAATTATTGTATTCTATTCTGCTTCAACCTTTATACCTGGTGGTCATACTCAATTTAAAATTGTTTTCCTATATACTTCTGTAAACTTGTTGACAAATATCTATTTTTCATTGAGTCACCCGTATCAACAGTTTAGGGATTTGCATATATAATGTGCTATCAATATGATGGAAATGGACTATAATGTATTATCTGTAATTATACAGAAAACTTCATTTTAAAATATTTTTCAAGCGCAAAACAAAAGAAAATTTTAAATTTCCACAGATATTAACCATAATCAAAATTATTTATCAAAAAAATTTATTATTTTTTTTGTTCAAACGTACCATCCTGCATATCCTAAAAGCTTTAAATCCAATCTAAAAATATACCACACATTAAAAGATAAAAAAATACTTGTTGAAGGTTTTTCAGATCTAACTTCATGTATACAAAAACAACTACAAATTTTTATAGACAAAAATCAATCAATTAACAAAAAACATACAGAACAGTTTATCTACCAAATAACTACACAGTTAATTGTTGCCGAGAGGGGGCATTTGGGCCTGTGGGACCCATCGCCGGCTCTTCGGACTTCTTCCTGTCCCCGGAATTTGATCGGGTGTTGACCATCTTTGTTTGTCGTTATCAAAAGGGTTAATAATCGCCACTGGTATAAAGTAACAGTTACCGTGACAAGTATCGGTTATAGGTAACAGTTCCAAGGAACGGTTACGAAATAACGGATCAAAGATAGAAAACAGAACAGGTACAATAGTCTAAGTATTCCTTGACTTACGGAAGGAATAGCTTAGTAAATCAAAATAAATCAAACGGTATAAAAATATAATACAAGATAAATGTTCCTAAGTGTTTCTTGACTTACGGAAGAATCAACTTAGAACAGAAATATAAAAAGAAAGTGAAAAAATATGTAAATGTGAAAATAAAATATGGAAATATTTCTAAGTGTTTCTTGACTTACGGAAGAAACGGCTTAGAAAATAAAACATTCAAGTATAAAACAAGAAATGCAAAAGGGAAATAGATTATAGAAATATGTCTAATTGTTTCTTGACTTACGGAAGAAACAACTTAGAGCAGAAAATAAACAAGAGAATATGGTAAAATAGATGTACAAATATTTATAAGTGTTTCTTAACTTACGGAAGAACAACTTATAATAAAACAAGAAAATCAAATACAGAAAAGATGTGAAAATATTGCTAAGTGTTTCTTGACTTACGGAAGAAACAACTTAACGAAAAATAGAAAATAAAATAGTCAATAATATGAAATAATATCTTAGATAAAAGTATCAGAAATAATAATGCAAATATGAAAATACTTCTAAGTGTTCTTTTGACTCACCGGAAAAGAACGACTTAGACACACACAAATTAACAAGTCGAATAAAATAGCAAAGCAATATTTCTAAGAGTTCTTTGACTTACCGGAAAGAACAGCTTAGATACAAATACAAGAAAATAATCAATCAAAATAATCAAATAAAATATCAAACAATAAGTACATGAACAATGTGTAATATTCTAACCTGAAAAGGTCTGAATATACAATAATGCTAAAATAAAAATGGTATACAGGAAATCAGAAATAAAACAATAACTTAGTTGGAACAATAATAGCACCGACTAGGTCTACAATAGAAGAGGCAAGCTCGACTGACCGATGAGAGAAATTCCGTCTGCTTTTATATAAAACAAATCCTTTGTTTTACGTAGTAAAAGTGGAATTTCCCTACATCGAATCAATTAGAAATTCGGATTTGCCCACACTTGGAATTTCCAAGTATTTCTCCGAATTTCTAAATGCGTCCGGCACGGCGGTCAGCTTCTGCCTGACACGCCTTCGGAGACATAACAAGCCTACTACGTTGGGCGCAAGCAAGCTATTTACTTATCTACACAAATAATCTAGGCCCTTTTGCTGGTGTCGGGAAGAGTTTGGGTGTGGTTCTTTCAAAAATCGTATACAAGCTGTTTGTATTATCTTTAAAATTAAAATGAATTTGGCACCATCCTTTAAGGCTGTTTTATCGGTGCACCAAAACCTATGTCTCGAAATTTGAACACGTTATTCGAAATTATGTTGCCTTTAAAATGATGATTTTACTTTTTTTATTTTTTTAAAACTTCTGTTGAAAAATTGGATTATACTGTTTAATGTTCTATTATAACCAAACTTTTTACGCCCATCACTTGAAAGAGTTTTTTTCTGTAATCGTTTATTTTTTTTACCTTTCTGTGTCCAGTAATAATCGAAAAAAGCGTGTTCAAACTTTGAAGAAAATTGCTAAAAAATACTAAAATCTAATAGTAAAACGTGTTACTCTTCATTGGCACTTAGTTTCATCGTTATCGCCTTCGTGACTTCAAATCTCATGAACGTACGGTCAGTTAGTTCGTGTTAAAACTAATTTGCATGGAAAATAATGCATTTGTTGTCATTAAACTACCCGTCGGCCGGCGCCGCTTAGTAAAGATGTAAAGTAAGTGATACGCCCATTTCAAATCGCAGTGTGCGTTAATTGCTAAAATAGCCGTAATAGTTTACCCTCGTAAGGAAACGAGCTTAGACAAAGGAATAAAATAAAAAATTTAAAACAAAGCTAACCTTCATTATTTTGTTACAAACAAAGAGTTATTAGAAGATTCTAGGAGATTTAAGTCATCCTGGAAAAAAATAAACAGTCTCTGTTTAGGTATTAAATTACAAATAAGTGCTTATACGAAACTAAAATTAAAATCATATCATAAGAAAACAAATATTTTATATCTTGGCATTAGATTATGAATGAGAAATATTTATATAAAAATAAAATCATAATTTATCCCAAATTTAGAAATTCGTTCACATAAAAAAATTCTGTTATATAGAAGATATTTATATAATATGTAAATATTTATGTAATTAAAATGTGTGTCCAGTAAAAGACACATCACTGTTCAATTTAAAAGTATAAAATTCGTACAACCTGAATTATCCAAATGCTTGTGTGGCTTGTGAAATAATATAATTTTTACAAATTAGGTACTCAGGCTCGGATTTTAGAACGTTGAATCTATCGGCAGCAAAAACATAATGTCTATATTAATAAATCTATAGGTTGAGGGTGACAAAGGAAACGGGATATTCCACACAAGGCACTTATACCAAACCACGGTAATTCTTCGAATTGTTAAGTGTATCATGTAATGGCGGCCAACTATACATTCTGGTATCAGAACACATACCATACATTCATAGCTATTTAGATAACCTCGGGTCAATAAACGTAATTCTGGCAACTATTAGTGCTCCCGGTAAGGGTCTAAAATAAATATTTGTTTGAAATATAAAATAAAAAAGGAATTTTTCGGCTTACCTCATCAAGAGACCACTCAAACAAAATTTTGTCCTGTATGTTGGATGTTCAGAGAGGGAAAAGAGAGATAAATTGCGGGGAGATTACGAACGCTCGGATATTGAGGCCATAGTCGGAACTATTAGGAACTGCAGTTGGATCCTTGAGGTAATTTAGATGCTTTCGCACTCGGCGAATAGATGGCGTAAACAAAATTAATTTGAATATTTACTAGAAATCATAATAATACATTTTTAAAACTTTAAAAAATAGTTTGAAACTTTTGAAACGGTTACACCCTATATGTTGTGACTTGTTTTTTTATATTTTTTTTATGTCATCCATAAACGTATAAATACTAAAGGACTTAAACTTCCCCCTGTTTTACACCCTCTGCCGTTGTAAACTCATTTGATATTTTTACTGATTAATCTTTACTTATTATGCGATTTTTGGTGTTTTTGTATTCGCTCCGTGCGTGACTGACACGACACCTACCGCCTTTTTCTGACAATTTTTGAGTCCCAATTTTCAGGTTAAACATATGACATAAGTATGTTTGACATTGTTAAATACATGCGAAATTGACAATTATTAATAAATTAGTTTTTTAACTATATTTTTTGAGTTTATGTACAAAATAAATGTAGTATTAAAAACTGGGTTTCTCAAAATTCATCATAATATATCTTTTCAACTCCAAACGTAAGAGAAAGGGAAAAATCTAGTAGTGACAAATCAAGTTTTTCACGCAAAAGAGCATATAATTAAAAACAATAATAGTAAAAGTTATGATATAAAAGCTAAAGTCATCTGCAGTTAGCTTGAAGCCTTATGAAATATCATTCAAGGTAAATTATTTAAATTTTTCCTATTTCAATTGCGTAAAAATGAAATTATGTGATATTTACTTTTTCATATTAATAGCAGGAATTTATCTTTTTCTTTTCTCTAATTTATATGTAATCTTTGGAAACCTATAAAAACTACACTCACTGTTTTTGCTATTATTAGCACAATTAAATACGCAACATGTATTTGCACACATTTTTGATAAAATTTATGCGTAAAAATATTTTGTCCAATATTCCAATTTTGTCATATTTCGCCGCTATGCACGCTGGCGTCGTTTCAATGTACCCCTACCATGGTCACGCACGGGGCGAATAGGTAATGATCGAATAACCCTTATAATTTTGTCTGGTATATATCTTCTTACTTTAATAATATCTCTTTTCTATTTTTAAGTTGTCCTGTGGATGACAAGTTAATATCAAGATTTAGAGGATCGTGGTCGGATTCTGGAGTTTATGAAACTCAGGTGTACGCATACATGAAGACTTTCCGATTTACAGGATCACCAGCTTTATACATTGAATGCGATGTTAGGATGTGTCATGGCAGATGTCCGGTAAATAATTTGTTTTCCTTTTTGCTCGAGGACAATTCTAACTGCCAAGTTTCTTTTTCAGAGTCAAGCATGTCATTGGAGAAACATTAAAAATGTAAGGAAAAGATCTACGGATACAAATCTTACGACCACTGCTCCAGTATCGTTGTCAGAAAATGTGAACTTATTTCAGTCCTTAAGAGTTCTTCAAGAAGGCGAAACTGATGAACAAAGGAATATATCCGTGTCAAGTAAGTGTTTTAGTCTAATACTTTCTTCTAAAACTATAGGGAAATGTCAAAAATAACAACAAATGTAAGGCTATATTGTAATATTTGAAACCAACATCATTATGAACGAAACATCTTGTTTAACAAAGGCGAGGCAAGGTTGACTTACAAGTTAGTTTGAAACTGATTGTTGATCGTCAAAAACTGATTCGGATCCAAAAAACTGCCACTTTTATTGTGACGTCAACTGAAGGCGATCTGCTGATAGTGACATGCACAATATCATACCTGTTTTTTTACCATGAGTACAGTGTTTTTACCATGAAACAACTAGATGGGTGGAACACTTTATATGAATCTTCCCGGAGTTCGATAGGATATGGCTCGATACATTTGCCATTTGGTTGGATGGCTAAGCGCCCAATCATGTTAAACATAATCTAACTTAACATGAATTTATTTAATAACCATTTTTCGCATTCATCTGAGACTGCATTACTGCGTTGGCGATTACCATCGCGAAGGCTTTTAGATATTCTGCCACATGGAATAATTGTCCTGCATTTGATATCTGAGTCCATTCGCAAATGATTTTTAACCAAGAAACCTGTTTTCTTCCTACACATCAACAGCCTTCTATTTAGGATCTTCTTCTTCTTCCTATGCCGTCCCCATTAACGGAGGTTGGCGACCACATTTTTAAAAGCTTCTCTGTCTTTTGCAACGTGGAATAATTCGTCTACAGTCATGTTTGTCCAGTCTCGAATATTTCGCAGCCATGACTTCCTCTTTCTACCTATTCCCTTTTTGCCGTCGACTCTACCCTGCATGATGACCTGCAGAAGACTATATTTATTATTTCTTAGTATGTGTCCAAGGTATGCAGTCTTGCGTACTTTTATCGTTCTCAACAATTTTTTGACTCGACCCATTCTTCTCAGCACTTCCTCATTGGTGACCCTGGCAGTCCATGGGATTCTCAACATTCTCCGGTATATCCAAAGTTCAAAGGCTTCAATCTTTTTACCTATTTGCGCTTTTAGCGTCCATGTTTCTACCCCGTACAATAATTGCGACCAGACTTAACATTCAACAAACCTCAGTCTCAGCGCAATATTCAGATTTTTGTCACAGAACAATTGTTTGAATTTTAAGAACGCTGCCCTTGCCATTTCTATTCGTACCCGGATCTCTTGGTCTGGATCTAATTCTGTGTTGATGTAAGCTCCCAGATATTTATATTTTGTCACTCTCTCTATTTGCTGTCCACCAAGAGTTAGTTGTTCATTATTTATTGGACTCCTTGATACTATCATAAATTTGGTCTTATCTGTGTTGATGTCAAGTCCCATTTGAATGCATTCACTATTTATTGCATCTAGTAAAGTTTGTAGATCTTCTATACTCTCAGCCATAATTACCGTGTCATCTGCAAATCTCATGGTGTTTACGATTTCTCCACCAATTCTTATTCCCTCTTTTCTTTCCCATAAGGCTTTTCTGAATATGACCTGTGAGTACACGTTGAAAAGCGTCGGAGACAGGACGCATCCTTGCCTAACCCCTCTCGCAATCGGTATATTATTTGTTTCTATATCGTTCACCTTTACTATATCGTTCACCTTTATTTAGGATCAGTTGTAATATTCTATACGATTTCTCCTCACTATATGTCTCAGATAAGACAATTTTTGGTATTCAACAGTCTTCAGCAATTCTCTTCTCTATTTTTGTTAGCCCTCCTTAGTACTTCCTGATTAGTTTTTGGTGCTGTCCAAACTATCTTCAGCGTCCGTCTATGAATCCACATTTCCAGTGCTTAAATTTTGTTTATAGGTACTTGATACTTTTAGTGTAAAAATGTTTTACAAAAATTAAAAAAAGCTATCTTAGAATCACTCTGTAATAAAAACTATCGAGCGGACTTTGATCCATGTTTATAAAACTCTCATTCGATCCAAAATAGATTATGATTCCATTATATATTCATGTGACAAAAAATCCTTATTACATCCCTTGAAATTATTCAAACTACGGCATTAAGTCTAACTATGGTAGCTTTTATCAGCCCAATAGAAAAATTAGGAGCAGAATTTTGTTGTGACAGTGGAAATCTTCTAACGATCATACTAGGTGAATTGCTCGAATTGAAGCTTGGCACGTCTTTCTAGACCATTCAATCGCGCACGTTGCCTCCTATTTCATTTTTTTATCTTTCTCTTGCCATCTTTCTAGAATTTCTTTTCTTTTTATCATATTTGTTATTGCGTTCAAAACATCCATAAAATCATTTTTCCCCTTCCTATAACCGTCGTTATGTCCTATTGAACCTATTACATGCAAATATACAACGATCGATTGTGTCATTAACTGCACAGTCCCTACAGTTACTATCCCTATTAGAAATTGTGTAAAGAAGTAGTTCATATTCTTGTAATTACAATTGATCCAGTCCTCCACATCCAAGATTAGCACCCTCTTCCACATAGCCCTCCGTTCATTTTCCATTTTCCTTGCCACATTCTTATTACTTTCCTTCTTGCTTGTTTTCCTGGCTATTCTTACCGTATGTTCTCGATATTTTTTGCCTGCAGGTGAATTGGTGGTACTCCCGCTATGACCTGTAGAGCTGCAGTCGAGGCCGTCCGGGATGCGCAGACGAACTTAACAAAGTTTTCCTTTGTGTTTTTTCCAATATTAGTTTTTAACATGATGATACTTAATATAAGACGATCTTTTATGGAACGGATTGATAAATATATTAAGGAAAATGGTGGACATAGAACACTTACTTTAACAAAGAGTTTAATCTTAATTAGTTTAACTATTTCTTAATTTGGTTTGAAAAATAAAATGTTTATGACTTTAATTTAATATAAAACGTAAAATGTTTGATGTCAAATTCAATTATCCTATTATTTTGTCAAATCATATTAAGTATTAATTATCCTGCTGATATATTTATTTTATTTAATATTTCGTTAGCTATTAGCTTTACTAAAGGTATTTTATACCAAAATTCAGAAGTATTAATGTTTTTCTCAATTTTTCTTTCGTTGCCTGGAGTAATTGCGTTAAATCAGAATTATGCAGTTGATTTGTAAAATGCGATTATCTCGAAAACTGTTGAGTTTTGAAGTTATTCACAGGTATACCTTTTTTATGTCAAAATAATGTATTTTTGATATTTTTTGTCAAAAATATCAATATCTGAAAGAGCAAAAAAGTGATACTGGCGCCCTCTATCAGCTATATCAAAGTATACATCAAATTATAATTTCTTATATTCAATAGTATCCAGTTGTAAATTTTTATACATAAATGTTAATAAACGTGAAAGTTATAGCGAAAAATAAAATTTAATATTTCCACTTTAACACCCTGTATCTTTCTTAATATCAATATTTTACTTAAGCAAGTTGACTTAAATCGTAATATTTTAAAGAACAGAATTTACGGTTTCTTTTTGTACAATTATCGTTTGTTTCTTCTAAGAAGAAGAAGACGGTTTGTTTAATACTTGATGCCAGATTGGAGAAGCATATAAAATTGTCGAGTTGTCAATTTCCATGAGGATTCGTCGTTTTTCTACATTAGGTCCTACTATGTTAGGGAGAGCGCCCACCAAACTGGCGTGGCAGTGGCAAGTAGCAAGTAGCACGCATCTAGCATGTTATTTTTAAATGTAACCAATGAAAACGAATGATTCAGCGCTCACCAAAATAATAGTGACGTCATTCATTCTAATAATTTGTTTGCATTGGTTACATTTAAAAATAACATGCTAGATGCGTGCTACTTGCTACTTGCCACTGCCACGCCAGTTTGGTGGGCGCTCTCACTTAGGCACAAATTCTTGCTAGTGTCGCAGTTCAAGTACTTCAAGTATTTTGAGTCTTCTTCAATGGTTCAGAGCAAAACGGCATTCATTTAAATGCAAGCATCGCAAATGTATGTATGTTTTTGTTTTTAGTACAATTCCTGCACAAAATACATGCGCTCACTGCTTACATTTGCAGCATCGTATCCATGGTCTCTCTGGCTAAGGGAGATAACAGCTTTGATTGCATTTTGCATCGAGTTTTTATCCCAGGTTTGCCTATTTGTTTTTGTATTTGCGACTACGATCAATGTAACAACATAGATTGATTTAGAAATATAATCGTAGTTTCTGATTTATTTATACATACTATTCAATCCATAAATCAGCCTAAAATGGCATACATATGTTTGTATATATGCCAATTTGCCCAACATAGACATATGCCATTTTATCCGGAATAGATCATATTTTGACTAATCAACAAACGATACAGATCTCTGTTAAAACACAACTTATACTAGAATATGTGTTGTTGTGATACACACGTTGAAAATCTCAGAAAACGTCAAATCCACACAAACAATTAGCTCGTAATCAAGAAGAAGTGAAGGAAAACTATTCACTCAACTAATTCTAATATAAATACACTGTTATAGCATTTAGCGGTCTGAGGTAGAATGCAAATCCAGATTTGCGCGGTTCATTCAAAACCGGTAATGTACCGTTTTACCTAAGCATGCCGTTTTAGACCAGCCTCCCCTATGTATATTAGTATTAAATATCTTTTTCTACTCTCTTACTAGTAAATTGTATATTACCTACTATTTGGATGCTAAGTAAATGCATCATAACAGATACTGACACGTAATGACTAGCACGTAATAAAAAAAATTACGCTTCAGTTTTATAAAAATGTGTAATATCACATAAGCCTTGTAAGTCAGTTGGTCGAGTTACCATGGAAACGAATTAACAGACGTTATTTTGACAGATTAAAAATTATTAATCTGTCAGTGTAAATATAGTGGTAATTTAATTTTTATTTTTATAAACGAAAATAATGGTAGAAAAAGTATAGTACACAACTTGAGTTGTAAGCTTATTACATGCTTGTAAAATTACTGCGCTCGCCGCTACGCGGCTCGCGCGCAACTTTTTTACTCGCATGTAATAAGCTTCTTACAACTCTTGTTATGTAATATACTATTTTCTACTCTCTTACTAGTAAATTGTATATTACCTACTATTTGGATGCTAAGTAAATGCATCATAACAGATACTGACACGTAATGACTAGCACGTAATAAAAAAAATTACGCTTCAGTTTTATAAAAATGTGTAATATCACATAAGCCTTGTAAGTCAGTTGGTCGAGTTACCATGGAAACGAATTAACAGACGTTATTTTGACAGATTAAAAATTATTAATCTGTCAGTGTAAATATAGTGGTAATTTAATTTTTATTTTTATAAACGAAAATAATGGTAGAAAAAGTATAGTACACAACTTGAGTTGTAAGCTTATTACATGCTTGTAAAATTACTGCGCTCGCCGCTACGCGGCTCGCGCGCAACTTTTTTACTCGCATGTAATAAGCTTCTTACAACTCTTGTTATGTAATATACTATAATAAGTTAATCTCGTCTTATATTATTATTTACAGATGCCCCCGCAGATCCAAACAGCGTTTGCTTGAAAACAGGATGGTTTTCTGCTCTACTCGCTTTGGGTGGAGGTGGAATGTGTCTTCTGGGCGGTGCTCTTCTAGCCACCTGTACAAGAATGAAGAAGGTTGCCATAGATAAAGTTTTAGTTAGTAGTCAGTTTAATGGTTACATGAACCATAGGGGAAGCATAAATTAAACAAATCTTTGTAAGGTCTCATTTAACTTATTGCTAGGGTAATGTGTGTGATTCTCAAGAAATTTACTTACAGGTGGTCAATGTTTCACGAGGAATGTTAAAAAAGGACGATTTTGCTGGTGATTAGTAAAGATTCTCTTATAGGTTAAGGAATATTTATTATAGCATACATTTTATTTCTGTACAATATTTAGTTTGTAATAATAAATTTAAGATAATATGAGAGTTGATGTTTTTATTATAGTGAGAAAAGCCCCGATGGTAAAAGGGTCCAGTATTCTTCTCTATCTTGACCTTTCAGTAGACGCAGTTTAATTTTGTGTATCAGTAGTCGCACACGGTCTACTACACCGGCCATAAAAATAGTCTTCTGGGTGCATTTTGTTTAAATTTCAATAAAATAAGCTATTGTTTGTAGTTTTTTTAACATTATTTTTTATTATTGACATATTTTGTTTATTTAAAATGTCTATTTACGTCATGATACAAATACAAACAGATAAGATACCGCGCATGTGGGCGTGGCTTATGCATGACTTTTGTGACGTCAACTTGTGCTAAATTTTGCCATATTGTGTTTTGACGTTTATGTACATTTACGGTTCATAGCCAATATTTAATAAAATAATATTTTAAAAGTGTTACAAGGTTTAAATTTTTCCCGATATGAGGTGTGCAGTGTATGGTTGTGCCGTTGACAATATGTGCAAGATGTTTTGTACCCGGTACAGCATTTTATAGCTTTCCAAAAGACAAGGAAATGCAAGCTGTTTGGAAACATTTGTGTAAACGCCAGGATAATTTTAATGTTAAATTTGCTCGTGCTTGCTCTAAGCACTTTGAAAGTGATTGAAGTGATTAATCGGTCATTCAGGTTGGCAAAATATAAAACAGAAGTCAACTACTTTATAAGTTTATAGAAGACGTTTCACTTTATACTTCTAAAGCTTCATCAGTTCTAACTCAATATATGTAGTATAAAAAATTTTATTATATATGTACCTACTTAAGTTTACTCATTATTTAGAACTAACTTAAAAAAACAGAAACAAAGGACACAAAAACTTTGCAAAAAATAATATCATTTGCAGGAAACGAAGATTTTGGTTCTCCAATGAAGACAAACAAAACACTGGTGAGTATTTTGTTTGTCTTCATTGGAGAACCATCTTTAAATGGAGCAAAATGTACGTTTAAAATTTTGTTAAATCTTTGTTTCTGCGAATGATATTATTTTTTGCAAAGTTTTGTGTCCTTTGTTTCTGTTTTTTTAAGTTAGTTCTAAATAATGAGTAAACTTAAGTAAATATATAATAACATCTTTAATACTACATATTAAGTTAGAACTGATGAAGCTTTAGAAGTATAAAGCGAAATGTCTTCTATAAACTTATGAAGTAGTTGACTTCTGTTTTTTATTTTGCCAACCTGAACGACCGATTAACCTCTGAATTCACTAGTTGAATACTTTATTAATATATATATATATATATATATATATATATATATATATATACATATATATATATATTTACGGCATAAAGTGAACTCCGCCCATGTTAAAATTCAGGTTCAAGTGAGCTCCGTGGTCAAGTGGACACCAATATACGGAGCTCACTTGACCATTCCATAATATTGGCTCTGTTGATTCGTTAAGATGTATAGTTTCATAATTCTTAATAAAATTTTGGAGCTCATAAGTACCCCTGTATCATAAATGTATTTCGCTTAGTTCACGTGTATATATTATAGGGGTCGTTCAGATCTTTTTCACTGTATATTGGAACCATACGAATATCGGTTTAAGTAAGCTCTGATAGTTTGGCAACTATGCAATTAAGCCGTAGAGCTCCAGCGTTCTTGATATATACATTTTATATATTTTAAACGGTTTATACGAACTCCTGATTTTTTTATCATTTATACACATTGCAATATGTAATAGATATGTATACTACCAAATACCTGTTTTTGGTAGGTACATGCTGTTCTAAAAATAGCTTTATAAATACAAAAGGATTTCATTACCAAATTGGATGTGTTTTTTCATATGCTGAAATTTCCTAATGTATTTTTTTAACATGAGTAGGTATGTCTTTGTACGATTTATTTAAGGATAGGATTAATAAGAATGTCTTTTATTTCATCCATTGTTTTACGATATCTTGTATACAGCTTCTTTATTATTTTATTTATGATTTTATCTGTGTACTACATATTATTATAATTCTGGATGGGTTATCTTAAAATAAATATTTAAGTGCTAAAAGTGATATTTTTATGTAAAAATGGGTAGTAGTGCACAAAAAAAGGAAGAATGCTTAATTCATCTAACAAGAATATACCACTTCACCGATATTACATACTTCTGAATGTTTTATCTTTTATTTAGGGGTAATGTAATCAATATAAGTGGAGTTAGTGTCAAATTTACAATAATCTTTATAAGCAATAGCTTACTGACTGTACTTTATATGTTTAATTCAATTAATTAAACCTTGTCACTTCAGAAAAGAGCGATTTGAATGGCAAAGTCAAATAAGAAGGTGTGATAAATCTTGTACTGCCCTACATTCGCACAGGTTAACCGGTATTTACTGGCAAGAGTCCTCCTCGCAGATTTTACGAAGATAACTACCATAAGGAAATTCCTCACGAGGGAACAGATGGCGAGGAGCAGCTTATCTTTTTTTTTTATTTCTTGCAATGTGTATATGTGTTGATCTGGTCAGTGTTTTCTCGATTTTAGTCATAAATTGATCTGGTATTCGTTGAGTGGATGTTGCGATTCTAGACTTTGTTTTTTTTATTCTATAGATACTTATCTTCGGATATTAGGTGAATTGATAGCTAAGATATTGTAGAGCTTATGTATGAATGTGTGTGTCTTAATATCCGCTTAATTTGGCTGACTAATTTATAGCTAAATCTACGTGTTAAGTATGTGTTGGTATCATCTATACTTACAAGGTATATTCGGCAGCAGAAGCATAGAGTGCAAGCGTCTACGTTTTAAGGATGAAAATGCTTCTCATTTTTAGCTGACAAGTTTGCAGAGATTATTTTTCTGGTCCTCAGTTTGCCTTTTAGTTTTAAACAAAGTTCTGTGAATGACAAAGTGTGTTTCAAACTATCTTCAAGGTATTTATAGCAAGTCCAGAGTTTAAAAATGTCATGACACTATTGGATGTTTAGATTTGTAAAAGCGTCTCTGTTAGGGACATTAAAGTTTTTTGTTGTGCAACAATATAGATCGTCTACCTAATAAAATTTCTAGTATTTACTGGTATCTTCTTCTTAAAGTGCCTATCCGTTCCGGATGTTGGCGATCATCACGGCTATCTTTACTTTGTTCTTCTTCCCGGTCCTCTCTTACCATTTACCTTCCCTTGGAGAATTAGCTTAAGAAGGCCGTAACGTATTTACTGGTATGGGTTGTGTAAATATTATGCAGTGTAGGTG